CTGGCCGACTACTCTTCACTGGTGCCACGGGCTTCGTGTGAGTTAATTTGCCTAATGACTTTGACGCACTCTCTGGGAAGACGGAGGCTGATATAGATAGTCAGTGGTGGCACGGTGCTACATCAGCTTCTCAACTCTACTTACCCCGAAATCAAGAACTTGCCAGTCACCGTTCTGGTTCGAAAGCAGGAACAGGTTGATCTTCTCAAACAGAAGGGAATCGAAGCAGTGCTCTTCAACGGCCTAGACGACTCTGAGCAGCTCAGAAAAGCGGCTAGCGAGCATGACTATGTCATCCACACTCCGAGTGGATTCCATACCGGCTCCGCCGTCGCGTTGATTGAGGGGCTCGGTGATAGAAAGAAACAGACGGGCAAGGAAGTTTACTTCATCCAGGTAAGCCATTAGTGCGACGACTTGCAAGTCCCCTAACAGACAGACTCATTGCGCAGACATCGGGTACCTCCAATTTGGCGCAACGCACTATCACCAAGACCCCTGCTGAGGTACATGAATGGTCGGACAAAGAAGACGTGTTCTCGTTCGAGGAGCAGAAGGAAGCCGAGGAGGCTTACGGTCAGCGAACCACTGACATCGCAGTCGTCAAAACAGGTGAGCGCACAGGCGTCAAGACATACATCATGATGCCTCCAACCATCTACGGCCGCGGCACGGGATACTTCAACCAAGGTTCTATGCAGATCCCCAGTATCATTCGTGGCTCGATCAAAGCCGGTGTTCCGCTTTACGTGGGCGACGGGACCTGCCGTCTCGGACATGTCCACGTCACCGACCTTGCTCTGCTGTATGAGCTTGTCCTCAGCAAGATTTTGGCCGGCGATGACATCCCTTCTGGACGCAAAGGAATCTACTTCTCCAATACTGGTAGCCACAATTGGCTTGATATTGCCAGAGGCGTTGGAAAGGCCGGTGTCAAGCTTGGTGCACTGAAGTCTGCGGAGCCCAAATCTGTGTCGTTGGAGGAAGCCTATACCACCGTTTTGGAAGCGCCCCCGCAGGTTGTCGAGATGAACTATGCAGCCAAGTGAGTCAGCGATGAATCCCATGAAATATGGGCAGAGGATAAATATTGACACGCTCTTGCAGCTCGGCAACCAAACCAGTCCTCGCCACTGAGCTTGGTTGGAAGCCGCAGAAGACGGAGGAAGACTGGCAGGAATCATTCGAAGAAGCCCTCCAGATGGTGCTGGACGAGAAGAAACAGTAATTATTTGAAATTTGTCGTATTGGACTTGGTATAAGAGTTTAAGTCTAGTTCTAATCTTAGATCATACCAATCCATCACATCTGCTTGACCCAATCCGGGATCAATAATGCTCGCACAGCCTTTCGCATAATCATGATCATAGTTCCCAATACTTAGTACACATACAAGTTCGTGACCCCCCCGTTGGAAGCAGCGAGCATCTTGCGGTTCTGCCTTTGCAGTGCGAAGCGCATTACCCAAGCACACACCACAACACCAAGCGAGAACCCGATACTGGCCAACATAGCCTTCAAGTACCTAGGCTCATCGGAGTCGGGCCACAGGTAAGGCGTATAAACACTGGCAAGGTTGCCAAAGGTGTTACACATGGCGATGGCGACTGCCTTCTTTTCATCGGTCTGTCCCAATACCGAAGCCGTCCACCCCAGGATAATGTTGTTCACGCCGTACGTCGCACCAACAAAGATCATGATTCCGACGTAGCGGACAGTGGTGTTAAGGGTTCCCACGCTCATGGCAAACCCAGCGCAAGCGATCAGCTTGCTCACGGTTGTGTGCCACGTACGTTCGTTGAAGCGACCGGAAGAGTGCGAGACGAGAATGCTGAGAATACCGGCAAGGATGTAAGGCGGGCACGTCAGCACCAGCGTGATTGTCGTGTTATAGTTGAGAGTCTTAACGACACTGGGAAGGAAGTTCTTGAAGCCGTTTGCCGAGAGATGCATGTTGTCCATGAGACAGAACACCCAGGTACGCCAATCGGAGCAGGCCTCACGGAGTCCCTTCCAGACACTGGTTCCACCCTCGCGACGGTCGGTCGTATCGTCGAAGATGCGCTTGTGGGCCATTTGACGTTGCTCCTCGGTGAGCCATCGGGTCTTGAGAGGGGCGTCGGGGAGGAGGTAGAAAGCCGCGATGGCAACGACGATGGAGACGGCACCTTGGATGATGAAGAGCCTAGCGACTATTAGCACTGAGAATAAGGTGAAGCAGGTTGCGAAGCTCACCATTGCCACCCAGCAAGATTGTGCTTTCCATCCAGACCAGCAAAGACACCGGCGGCAATCAAGCCTGAAAAGGCGCTGGCCAACATGTTGCCGGTGTAGAAAATTGCCATGCGCGTGGCAATCTCTTTCCGGGTGTAGAACATACTGAGCATGTACAGAGCGCCAGGATAGAACTTCATATTGTCAGTTGCGGCTGTCCTCCTATAGCCAGTATCGGAATGTTTAGACTTACGGGAGCCTCAGTAATGCCAAGCAAGAACCTGCAGGCAAGCATCGTCGAGTAGTCATGCGCCATGTACGTGAGCAGGGAGATGATCGACCACGCCAGCATGAACCCTATACACCTCCGTTAGGACTTCGCGTATCTCATCGGAAGCTTGGCATACATACCAGCCATGTACCAAGACGGTCGCACTCGGTTGAGAATCATGTTGGAGGGAACTTGGCCGCACAGGTATCTACCGAGATTTAGTCTAGTGTCTGCAACGCCGAGGATCTCCAACTTACCCGACGAATAGGATGGACACGCAGGTGTTGTACTGGGTGCCCTTGAGATTCAGGTCATCCGCAAGCGAGTTGAGCTTGCCATTGATCATGGCATTGCGATCGAGGAAGTTCAAGCTGGCGAGTTTCCTGTTAGTACAAATCACGACTCTGAAAGGCCGTGGCGACTTACAAGTACATCACCCAGAGAATGGGCTTCACGGAGAGTTCAGTTAGTCTCAATGCCACGCGCAAAGTGTCTGCCAAGACATACCAAGATGTACCAATCAATCTTTTTGACCAAGGCGATCTCCTTGGGGTCGGTCTTGGTGTGTGCTCCAAACTCGTCGACCTTGGAGTCCTGGTTGGGCTTGTCGACGTCGCCAAGAGAGCCGGCGGTCAGAACGCGCTCCATTTGGCTGACGTCCGCCTTGCCCTCCTCTGATTTCCTTGGCGCAGCCATCTTGATGTGTGTGTGTCTCCGAAACGAGATTCAGGGCGTCCGTGGTCGTCTAACGTGGTCGAACAGCGGCCGAGTCGAGGTCTTGCGCTGGATGAACGAGAACCTGAGAGCTCAGAACGTCGCCAGTAGACTAGTTCGTCTGTGCAGAACCGCCATATATACCGGAGCAAGCTTGAGACGAACACCTCTCCCCATGTCTCCGTAGGCTCCGCGTTAGCTCCGCTGAAGTCGTGATAAGGGGCCACATCTGCGTGGAGCCCCCCATGGGGGAAATGGGGTAGATGGGGCGCCGAGCTTTTCCGCTCGTGCGGGGTTTGGGGAAAGAGCAGCTAGCTGGCCGATTTAGACCCTGCGCTAGTATTAACATGGTAAAGGCCCTCGCAGGCAGTTGACAGGGAAGTGTCGTATCGGAAAAGAGCCATTCAACAAGGAGCCTTGCGACCTGAGTCTGGAAGGGCAGGTGGTTTGCTTTTCCGTTTCATGGGGGGCCGACCTGAACGGGGGCGATGACGAGGCTCACCGCACGGAAAAGCACACGCGCTCCTTCAGAGGCGGTGGGGGATCAGGTCAGACATGTCATTCTTTTCCCAACGCGTTTGATTTATAATTGCGCTGTGATTCCTGTTTCCTGGGCTCGCAGAGCCGATCTTGCCGAGGAAAAGCAATGCATCTGCATGCGGTTCAGTCAGCGTGCACAAATGCGACAGGAGACACACTTGTACAGCTACCACGTGTAATAGTGGAACTAAATGCGGCGACTACTGCGCGTGTCTCAACAGTCGCTCTGCGTAGCGTCGCATGAAGCCGATAGGAAAACACAAGGGTGTGTGGATGGTCCCTTGCGAAGACTCGGGATCCTACTGCCATGGGCCTGACGCGAACCCACAACACGGATAAACACATGAAGGCCTTTTCTTTACTTACGAATGCGAGATCTGGTTCGGAGATTGCGGGTCAGTGGAAAAGTACAACCTTAATCATAAGACGTCAGACGTTCCTTCTGAACCCTTTGTAGATATGTGCAGTTTCAATGCCACTTCATTAGTGCGGCTACGACCGGCAGCTGGAAGAAGCACCGACTGAGACTCTGCGCTGTAACTGTGCATCTTGACCAGTGCATGGCCGATACCCGGATACCTTCCCAAAAGGGGGATGATCACTCAACAGCGATGCATATCTATGGCCCTACATGCCAATCAATGCGGCCGAGAAGCAGACCTACTTTGCGTAATGACTTTTTCGCAGGTGATTATCATTCAGAAGGCCAAAGGACTGATGGATGATTTGTGGAGCTTTGTGATGATGCGAAAGTTCATGTTCCGAGACCACGCATCAAATGTGAGATTTGAGCGCTGAATGGACATCCGGGAAATCTGACCTGGATGTTATCATTGCGTCAATGTTACATCTAGAATGTTGGGTTGTGGCGCCAGTGGGTGGTTCAAGTCGGTAGCCGAGAAATCCACAAGCAAGATAAGACGCGAGTATTGTGGCCCCATGAAGCTCAACTTGAGTCTTTGACTGGGACATTCCCCGTCCGGCTACGATACGATTCACGAAATCATTATAACTTGATTGGTTTGCCTTCCTGAAGTTGGATGATAGGATCTGCAGAATGCCGATTTGCGCACCGTCATTAGTCTGGGACTTTGGCTTTATCAAGTCACAGTCAACGTTATAAGCTGTCTGATGTGAGATGAGACGGCAGACGGGTTGAGGCCAGTGTTGCGCCAACTCTGCACTTGAGAGCAACGGAGATCGGAAATCAAACTTGGCTGAACAACGAAGGAAGATGAAGAATACTATTCAATTCCAATCACTACTGACTAGCTCTAAGCCGTAGCAGCAAAGCAAGATTTAGTGATGCTCCCCAAGTCCCTAGGCGAGTAAGCTCCTGAGAAGCGTGCCGAAATATTACTTCAGCTCTATGCGAACCACCATTCCCATCGCCCAAAGCCATTTCAAGGATGTCGCGCAGCTTTATCTGTACTGCTGTGGTGAATGGTAGCTCATACTGTTTGTCGAGAAGGCAGCGGAGAAAACATAGCTCTTCTGTCGTACTGGTCCCAATCAACATCCACAGCAGCACGTAGTTGAGAAAGGTGCTAATGATGCTGTACGGAGCTGCTTGTTGCAACGTGGGGATAGAGATGATGTCGTGAATACTTCTGATAGCCTGGTCAAAAACCGTCAAAAGCCCGATGTATCTGTTCTCCACTGAAGTTGAAGGCGTCCATCTAGACAATACATGGCGCAAATTCGAATTTTCATGGCCATATAGATAGGGGATGTTCCCTAATTGACGCTTGAAAAGGTCCAATCCGCGGGCGATCCCCTGTGGTCCGCTTTTTCCGATGGCGTCTTGCAGATTGGATACAGAGATGGTAAGATTGAGATTTGCCAGCGAAAGCAGAACCCGAGATGCGCTATGAAAGTATTCATTGACCCCCCACGCATCTGGATCGTGCTTTTCAGCACGGGCAATGAAAGTTTTCCAGTACTCAAGGGCACCTAATGGTGCGAGTTAGTACGGCATTGTTTTGATAAGGGTGTGGCATACCTTTTACGTTATATCTAGGGACTCCGGGTCCGCTTTTCAGACCTTCGAAGGTAGAAAGGTCAATATCTCTCTCGTGGTGTTCAAGGCTGTCCGAGCATGTGATGTTTGCGTTCATTGAATGATCATGGGCACAGTCTAAAGCTTGGCTTGCCAATGTGCTGATGACCAGAAACGTAGCCCATGGATTTATCCTTTTCGTCAAGCCTTTGACGAAACCCATCGCTGGTGTTTTGTCCTGTGGTGGTCGTTTCATCGTACCATTTCGCATAAGTCCTCGCAGAGTATTTTGGCTCTCGTTGGCTGATCCCAGTAACATGGGCTCAAGGTCTTGATCGCTTGCACCCAACATGCCTTGCCACAACGTCTCGTTGCACGGAAGTTGCCAATCATAAACCTCCGATACGGATATCATGCTCCTCATATTCAGGAGTGCAGGAAACTGGGAATCCACCATGAACACAAACCATCTCACTCGCCGAACAAATTCCGAACGCGCCCAGGCTTTCATTCTGTCCAGGCTGTCGCGTAGGCTGTCGTCAGTCATACTATAGAGAAACTCGGGCAGGCGCCTGACGTAAGTGACCAGGGTGCCTCGACATGCTTCGGCGACTTCAAAAGCTTCTTTGTTCCCGCACCACAGCCCAGTATAGCACATCAACGAGTACGCATATATGATGTGTGGGTCTCGGGTAAGTCTTCTATCTCTTTCGATGAGAACCTGAAGGTTTTGGCGGGAGCGGTTGAGCAACAGAATTGAAAAGCGACGGGTCTGCCGTACGTGGCTGTACATCGCGCCTATTGCCACCATAATGGAAAGCAGAGAAGGGTGAAGCTCATTGCTGTTGAGAGTTGGGAGATGGAGCACAGGACTTTGCGCATAGAATCTTTGAAGAAATAGCCCAAAGAAAACATTCGCAATTCCTAGCGGGGGTAAGATGAAGCTGTCTGCTGTCGGCGACTGAGTTTCTAAGAAGTTGTGGACATTGGCCCAGGTTGCGTCGTTGAGATCGAATCGCGGATTGTGATTTTGCCTCAATGGATGATTTTGGCTGATTATGATAGGTCTTGTTTGACGTATGCCCTCGGATGCAGGATCCCACGCAAATGCGATGGCATCCTCCTTCGAAGGCATGTTTGGTGGTGAGGCTGCCCGCGATGAGTTTTCGGTGACGTCTCCGGATGTCACTGGAGTGACCTGTGCATTGCTATCAATGCTTTGCAATCCGAACACATTGAATTGCATGGCCTCAGGTGGCTCCAGGCAGCTCCATAGCTCATGAGCGGCTCCATACGCTGATTGGTTTCCGGGCGCGATGAAGTCATTGGGACCAAAAATTGTCGCCATTTCTTGGGAAGCGTCATAAAAATCTTGAGTGAACCAATCATTTGTATCAAGGTGTTTCCCAGTATCCCAAGGACGAAAGAAGCCTGTGAAATCCACGTCCCCATCCACAAGAACTGGTGCACCTTGCACAGCTTGGTTCATGAAGAGGCCCTCCTGGTTAGGCTGACCCAACAGGTTCGAATCTACCGCTGGGCCTGGCTCAGGTTCGTTGTCACCTGGCGCGAAAGAAGTGTCACTACTAGATGAGCCATATTTGCTTTCGAGCACGAAAGGATATCTCCTCTTCCCAAGAGGAGGCTCGTCTGTTGGTTGCTGCTCGTCTTGGCGTTGGTGGGTGCGCTGATGTTTCTTTAACAAGTCGCTTCTGGAGAATTCTCTCTGGCAGATGTCGCAGCAATGTGGAAGGCTTCCTTGATCTAGAACATTGTGAGCGATTCAAGTCCTCTTCGTGATTAGTGGATCAACCGCTGTGGTGGAGACCTACGTGATTTTTGATGCCGTTTCAAATTCTCAAGTCGGTTGAATATTCGAGGACATTTCGAACAGGGGTATGTTCCGGTCTTCCGCTTCGGAGCCATCTTGCGGGGCCGATCTGAGTAGTTGCCGCTCGTCTAGATGCACACGATATGTCTACGGTGGACGTCTTTTTCGCACGTGAGACGCCAGCAGTAGATCTGGGTGGACGTCGGCGTCCTCTTATGTTTTACGTCCACCTTTACCCCACAAAGCCGGGTGGACGTCAGTCCATATCGGGACTAGCGTTCTGAACAATGTCGGATTTCCCGAAACGGATGAAGACCGGGACTGTGTTAATTTACCCCGGATGAGCCGCTCGCGTTTACTTACAAGTTCCATGACACCAAGAGCTTTGAAGTGAGATCGGTGCCTGCAATTGTCTTTTCTTCGTTCTGCTTTCCGAAAATGGCTGTCAGTGCTCCCGAAGTGATTGTGCCAAAGAAGGTCCTATCGGTGTCTAAAGGCGCTGATCGAGACGCTAACTCGGGCACATTTACACTCTCTAACAGCAAGGTTTCCGAGCCCACCGCAAGGGCTAGCATTGTGTTCGACTATGAAATTTGCATAGGTGGAATTCCGTTCATCGTCGTGGAACGCGCACATGGCCATGGGCAGATACAGCTTCAAGCTGTTTACAGCGAGACAATCGGGGGAATTGATTGCGAGACTGGTAAGGGGTTTCGTTGACCTAACCTGAGACACAGGGCTAACGTTTGGAATGGCAGGAGATGGGCCATTCTTTTTCTTTTCCAATGCAATGGATTGCTACCGCAATGTTGCCATCAAGATTGATCCATCTGAATCACAGCAAACCATCAAGGCAAACCTTGCGCAAAGATCGCAGAGGTACTTAAAGCTTGTGCTTATCTCCGAAGATGCGTCCGTTGTTATCAGTCGAGTTGGGGTTGAGCTTGTCAGGCCATTTATCGAGCCAAAGGCCTCTTTTCACTGCTCCGACGAAACTCTCAACCGAATCTGGAGAGACGGTGTCCGCACTGTGGACATGTGCACCGTCTTCAAGGGCGAGACAGCTCCATCATGGGAAGTCACGAATGACGGCACTAGAGTTCTTGGTCAGCACTGGGCTCCATGTCGACAGGGCACTCGGTGGGGAGACAAAGAAGTCACATTTGAAGTTCGTATTGAGCATCTTGGTGCCAGCTGGGGCGTTCATATGGTGGCCAACGGAGTTATCTTTTGCCTCGACATCGACGCCGAGGAGCTCCGAGCGTACGAAGGCTTGGCTGACCAATCTGCGGTGTTCCCCGTGAAGAGCTTTGGAAGTTGGTCGACTCACGGCATTGCGAAGAAAGGGGACTGGATCCAAGTTTCAACTATTACCAAGGGGAATGTAATTGCCGTCACAATCAACGACCGGGAGGTTGCGACAATCGCAGACGTTCAGCTTCGGCCAATTCTTGGAGGATCTGGCATCAACACCGGGTCTGTGGCATTTGGGGGACCCAATGGATGGCTGGCAGTCTATCGAGACCTTGCTGTGAAAGGCGCCGGCGAGGTCCTGTACGAGAACAGCTTGCGATTCGAGGACAAGGACAGGACACTGGCTGATTTCCAGGTCGGAACAAATGCCGTGGCTTGCATGATTGATGGAGCAAAGAGAGACAGAGCCACGTTTGGCGGAGATCTGTTTGTCTCTGGTCGGGGAGTCGCTTACGCTGGGCTGGACATGGCTGCGGTTGCCGGCAGCATTGAGCTTCTTTCGAGTCACCAGACTGAGGATGGGTATCTCGGTAACCTGTGTCCCATTCAAGCACCCATCCACACAGGCGACGCGCCACCACCGACATATGCATTTTACTCCATGACATATGCGTGCCTTCTGGTGGTTGCTGCGAAGGATTACTGGTTTCATTCCGGAGACGACACGGTTGTTCAGCGGTTCCTCCCCGCTGCTGAAAATCTCTTGAAGTTCGCAGAATCCCATTTGAAGCCTTCGGGCCTTATTGAGGTACATCCTGAACTTTCAAGTAAGTGTTATCTAATTTCTATGCCATTTTCTGAATATTTGCTAACAACTGTGAGTGCACTGGTACCCTCTTGGTGGCCCAGTGTTTGGCGCAGCAGGAACGACGAACCTCGCATATTACGACGCATTGAATGCTGTGATTGCAATGACATCTGATTCAAGACGCAAGTCACAGCTTGCCGAACAAGCTGAGACTCTCAAAAGCAACATACTTGCTCACTTATGGAATCCAGAGACTTGTAGCATCCGCATGGGAATAGCTCTTCCCAGTGACGGAATTTGCCAAGATACGAACGGCTACGCACTGTCGCTTGGAATTACGTCTGAACCAGACAAGACTGCGGGACACTTGGCGTGTCCCTCAGGCACGAAGCCTGTAGCCTTCAAGGGATTGAACCACTGGGACAGGACAGGAGTTATCAGCCCATATGCTACGGGCTTTGCAGTTGAGGCGCTCTTCTCCCACCACAAGGGGCAAGAAGCTATCAAGCTAATTGACAGTGTCTGGGGCCCGATGGCTGATACGTCAAGCCCCAACTATTCCGGCGGTCACTGGGAAGCAATGACCGCCGAAGGAGAACCTTTCTACCACGATACGTCTTTGATGCACGCCTGGTCATCGTGGCCTGTGTTCTTGCTGCCTCAATACGTTGCTGGTGTGAAACCTCTGGAACCTGGATGGAGGAAAATCCAGGTTGCACCGGTTTTGTCCGGTATCAGCTCGGCACACTATGGAAAGGAGACTTCAAGTGGCAAAGTAGAGGTTAATCTCAACGTCGACGAGGGAGCTGGCAAGATTGGTGTTAACCTGTCACTACCGCCCGGGATTTCCGCGGAGCTTTTACCTCCTCCTGGCTATATAAATCAGGGTGATGCAACTGTGCAAGGACCAGTAGGAGAGAAGTTAATCACTTTTCAACGGGCAGAAATCAGAAATTAGATAAAGAGTCGGTCACAGATCATAGACTATATGTAGCATTTCTAGTTAGAATACATTTGGCAATTTCGCACACAAGCATTTCAACTAAGCATGATCTCCTTTTGCTTCGAGTTGTGAAAGGCCTCCTTGAAAACCTTTCCGACACCAACTCTCTCCCACTTTTCATCCTTCCTCTCAATCAGAAGGACGTAGAACAAATCCCACTCGCTTTGCTCTCTCTCCTTGGGGATGTAGTATGTCCACTCCGGGCACTCATCACGCGTAAAACTCTTCGCTTCGGAGATGGCGATGAACTCTTGCTTGTCGCTCGCTTTGGCTGCCCATTCAGCTTCCAAAACTACCGAGCCACACCAATCGCCCATCTCATCCGCAATATGATATCTCGCCAGACCAGTTTTCGTGCCCATGCTGAGCAGCTTGCGGTCATGGAACTGCCGCTCCGATGGGCCGTTATGTTTGATGTACAGCCATATGTGCCATGTGCGGAACTGTAGGATTGGAAGCAGAGGGAATTCGGAGGTCTCGGGCTTCTGTTAGAAGGGAGCCTTCACGACGCGATACGGATAATCTCGCAGCGTGATACTGAATTCTTTTTCGTTATCCTCGAAGAACATGTCGAAGAAGTCCGCGGTGTGAACCGGCGCCGGGGCTGAGACTAGGCCTCCGGAAACCACTGGTCCAGCGCCGAACAGCGCGCCTTCCCGGGTGACCTTCCTGCGTTGATCACTGGCTCATCTGTCAGCTTGCCTGTACATCCGACTGAGGAATTGAAGCTCTCTTTACGCACTACTTCGGAGAAGGCGGAGAATGAGGTGGTACATTCAAATGGTCTTCGTATTCATGCCTCGACCGTCGGTCCCTATCTCTGTTGTCCGCGACAACTGGTATTCTGGATCGCCTACAATTTTTACGTCAGAAAGATTACATCTTTGAAGATGCCAAGTTGGTCCTAAAGAGACTTACTCTTCCGCACTGTATGCTCGAGTGACAGAATCAGACGCCCGGAAAGCGGCAGGCTGCCTGTAAGAAGTGGCCTCCGTGTACCCCTGATAGAGTGGTTTGGTGTTCCTGGACCTCGGTGCTCCTTGTCTAGACCGGGATCTGGATCGGGCTCTTTCACGCAGCCGCACATCTACGTCAGAATAAGACGCTGAATCATCGCTGTAACTAGAGTTGAGTTTAGAAACAATCTTTAGAATCACTGTGCATAATTCCTTACGAAGAAGCGTCTGGTGAACCGTCCCGTTGTACTGGGCTTGGAGATCCCCGACGACGTGGAAAGTCGGATGGAATGCCTATTTTACGATTAGGTATGCCATTGATGTTGTGGTAGCCGAGCGGAATTCACTTCTCTCTGCTCTCTTTTTCGTATAGCCTCTCCAGCTGCGATCTTCGCTAGCGTCTTCCAGTGACTGATGATAATCCCACAGTGGACGTAAATCGCCGTGTCCATCCCGCACCCACCACTGTATCCAAGTGTGTGTGTTCAGCCACTGGGAAACATTGTCAAGGGCACCTCCAATCAAGTCATCATGGTACTTAGTCTCTCCAATCCATCCCGTCCAAGACCAACTGGGAAAGTCTGGGATCGTATGATCGTTTTTATTTGTCGAAGACGTTCTCCGTTTGACGGACCTAACGGGTTCCCAAAGAAGAGCCAGATCAAAATGGGAACTAGGAAGCCCATGTATGAAAGGCGCATTCATGCGTTCCTCCATCATGTTAGCCATACCACTGAAAGCTGCTTGGATATCTTTGGCTTGAGTCAGCTTCCTCTCGGTGTAGAGCTCAACGCACTTCATGTACACCCAGAAGGCACGGTCGTTAAGTTGTCGGAACATTTGCATAGGCGCATCGACCAGGTCCAACGACCAACCCGCTCCCTTTTGGTCTCCAAAGATGTCCTCCGACATGCCAGTGGATCGACATTGGAAGTACACCCTTCCATTAGTGAAGATCAGGCATCGACGCGAGAGGAGCCGCTCTTGAAATGTCCAGGCCCGCTCGTTCCATTCTGAGGAGCGAATGTAGATCTCGGGTGGGCGTGTGACCATCAGTTCAAGATGAGGGTTGATCATGCGCTTGTACTGCTTGGTGTTGCGAGTACTTGGTCGCATAGCCCTCAACCCAATCGATGCATCTCCATCCGCTGCACATATAGTAAGTGCTGCGTTGCCGTAAATAAGGTCCATGTTGAATGCATTGAGCTTCCAGGATCGCGAGCTATTCTGGACAATGCAAAGTCGGTCTATCCACATGTATTTGAAGCCGAGTCTGCGGACGAGGTCGATTGCGTCCTGGATGGCTTTTGGCAGTCGAAGAAGAACGTCCTCGAGTCCACCGTGCATACGGTGAAGCATGACGTTGTCGGTCAAGGTTGTGTATGCCGTTTCATCGGTCCCCCATACGTAGCTAAGTGCGACGTACGGCTCATGCAAATCTGTTCCCAATGCATATCTTCTCTGTCTGCCATCTCGAGATCTCTCTCGAGACCGACAAGGCAATTGTGTGAGTTGCATGTTCTGTACGTCGATGACACCGAAGTAAGAGTGAGACACCATCTCGACAAAGCGCCCAACGCCCTCCTCCTTATTTTGACGACAAGGGCCCCGATGAGACTTTTGACAAAGATCCAGCCATGATCGAATGAGAGCTTGATTCTCGATGTCTTCGGTAATCTTGCGCCCCAAGAAGAGCGAGTCTTTGGCCCAGACACGGTCAGCATCAGACGCGGTCCTTGCGAATCTCTCCGGTGCGACGTAGACCAGGTAAGCATCTGAAAGCCGAGGGTTGTCCCATCGAATGTGTATGCGTCTAGTTATCCCCCGGACTGTATTCGACGGGTTGTGGCCGCGGCTTTTGGACCTGGACGCTTCACGGCCGTCAATTTCCCAGCTGATGGAGCATTTGGCGTTCTCAAGCGCATGCTCTGCAGCTGCGTCCAAGACGTCACCGGTCGGGTTTTGAGTTCCTGCTTCCTCCACCGAGTCTATTATCAAAGCGCACATCTCGCATTCCGATGATCGATTGCGGATATCACTTAGGCTTCCAAGATGATGTGGTGTTGTGTACGAGCGGATTGGCGCTGGCTGATCTTGTATCGGCTTGCCTGCAGGCTTTGTAGAGCCAGGTTGAACTTTGAAGCAGTGTACACCCAGATCCAGCACAGCGCAATCTTCGCAAAGACCCTGTGCTTAAGTAAGGTACTGGCGGGAAAGAGGTGAAGCATGTCGTCTCAGCTCGAAGGCTCTCTTACCTCATTGTGTGCGCCATATCGCTCGTTGCTGTGATTCTGATGCGGCGCATACTTTGCGACCGCATCTACGGCTTCTTTAGGCTCAAGGATGTCAGACAAAGTTTCGTTCCTATTGCTGTTCTCCATCTTGCAAAATTGGTCGCAATTTTGACAAGGGAGTGTTAGATGTGAAGCTGAAATTGTCTCTCAGAAAGGTCTCCATAAAGCAAGCTGAGGTGGTTGGGAGATGACAGCGTGCTAGCGAAAGATGGCATTTGATTGGCCCACTAAGTTGGTAAGAGGTGGTCTCACTGCAACGTTGAGCGACCCTTGTTTTCAGCTTCCCATGTTTTGCGCTAGTAAGATCGTGCTGACGCTGACACCTCGAAATGGGCTTCACGCGTGTTGATCTGGTTGACAGTCGATCACGATGAAGGAAACCATACTGGAACGCTCACTGTAGAACTCGCACGCAATTTTTGAGCCTCGAAGGCAGCCATTTGTCAAACAGTCATTTGTCAAAATACGGGGATGCCTTCTGAATTATCTTCCCTGAAAGAGACCGCCTAATAAATCCCCACTTGAATTTACTGGCAGTTGGCGCCGCCAGCAACATTTACGCACTTTTGGCGACCGCAGTCCATGAACTATAGCACGAGTCAGCAATTCCGTCGCTATCGCCGGGTGACGTGGCTAGAAATGTTCGCCGCTTACATCGAAGACGTTGTTCTTGGCAAGATTGCAGAACTTGATGCTGTTGCCCTGGCAGACTTGAATCTCGTTGCCAGTACAAGACTGGGCAGACGCCGCCGCAGCGAAGAGGAAAAGGATCGCCCCGGTAAACTTCATTGTAGAGTCGGTATTTGCGCTAGTTGATAGAGGATGAGTTTTCTATAGCGAAAGCTGTAGAAAGTTGAAAGTGAGGGCTGCGTGACAACGCCGAGAAAATTGAAGTTCGAGGGTAAAGAACGTGAGTCGCGAATAGTCGTATGGTATGAACTGACAACTCTTGCAGGGGAAGATACCATGCTTTTATTCTTATGATCCACCCCCTTTCTTCGCTATCGGAAGGTGCGATTTGCTAGGCTACAGATGCTTGGACGGAGTTTCTTGACTCGCTTGCTGTTGGTCCAGGCGGCCGTAATTAAATTGAGCTTGTTTCGTCACGAGAGTCCCTATTGCATGCAGAATAGCTTGACACACCTCGACTGCTAATGCTCCCTTGGTGAGATCAATTCAGGCTGGACATTCGTTAGTATCCAGTGGCAGACTGTCTATTCCTTTCCAGATTCCCATGCATCCTTTCAAAGTCCGCTCTTCCGTTGCTTTGCTGAGATCGAGTTACAGTGTACTTGCAGGTTCCATCTCTGAGTCAGTCTAGCGTGAACCGCCCTCAGGCTCATCTAGTCCATTTCACATTTGCGGCGTATCCGAAACTTTAACAATGCCCCGTATCCAGAAGCACGGTGCTCCCCCAATTAAGACCCGGTTTGCTGGGAGTAGCTGAGAGAGGTCGAGAGCTCGGCTATGGGGATTTTAGTTGACCTGGAACTATGTTCAACTAGAAGAAAAGAGTTGACCGAGCCAGTCCATCTTCTAAAGTCTTGGTCCAATGGAATCTTAACGTTATGATCTCTGGATCCGACAAGCGGTTCGAATACCCTCAAGAGCAACCCACGACATGCATTTCAAGCGTCGGAAACCATATTCGGCACCGGGAGTGGCACCTCGCGTCGAAATTGCGGAATCAATGTTATTCTAATAC